TCTACTCCGTACAACTTTGTAGTAAATACTCCGTATAAAGAAATCAACCAAAGTGTGGATGAGTAAACTCACATGGTTTGGAAAACTGTCCTTTCTCATCTGACTAATTATGTTGAACAACAAATGTATTTGAGGTAATTGTCCACAGTGGTCCCATTGACAAGAGAATAGAGTGATAAAAGACACGAAAATGAGGGAGGGAGTGGTACCGAGGGGGTGCTCAACAGGTTTTGTAGCGAGTGAGTGCCAAAGGGTTAGGTCCCGAGTTCAAATCCTGACAACTGCCATAGGGCCTATGCAAGTACGGGGGACAGGGCCACACTCTCTATCCGCATTATAGTTCAATTTACATCCTTCTGTCGTACTGTTCGGTCGGTGTTGGGGGCCCTCAGGAATGGGGTGTCATCCTTTCTTTAAGAAAATGAGAAAGAGATGAGAATGAGTATTTTGGAGCATGTTTTTGAGAATGCCAAATATGATGGAGCTTTTGTTTGAGTCTAGAATATAAGGAGGCAAATGTAGAGCCTTTTCCAGAAAAAAGTTAAAGGGTAAAGCAGAAAAGCCACTGAGCCAAAATCTAGGGCAATCCAGATTTTATACACACAAAAATACAATATTATTTACCACATTTATGCGAAAATAAAGATAAAAATGCAATTTCTATGTCTCCAACTAGTCTCCGCCTAGACTTCTAGGCGCTAGGCTAGCGCCCGCCTAGCGTCTACAGTCTTTTACGCCTAACGCCTTTTAGAACATTGGTTTTACCTGATCGCAGAGCAAATATGTTCCAGGTCTACTTGGGCTACAGCGCTGCTCACTCGGGTATCCGTTGCCGCATTTTAATGGTTTGGCTGACCAAAAGTAAGTGAAGAATCGGGGCATATTTTGAGAGGATCTGGCAGATCACTGGCGTACAATAGAAGAAGATTATGAGGGCCAAGTAGAAGTTGCAGTTGGTGGTGAAACGGCAGGAGTTGGTCGCTGAAGGGTTGGTGTACAGTGCCGCCCAGTTCCATGCTCGACAAGGGGTTGCGGATGAATTTGAACACTTACAAGAAGAAGACGTTGAGGGAAGAACTCAACAGGCAAAAAGTAGAAAGCTATGCAGACCATCACATATTAAAATTAAGGGAAAACTGTCAAATAGGTCCTCGAACTTTCATAAAAAGGTCAAATAAGTCCTTATATAGGACGCTCTGTCCGGCTGTTGCGATTTGGAGCGGTTCCCGGTGGAATTTTTTGATGAATTTTTTTTGAACATCTTATTCATCAAATCCAGTTTATTCATACCAAATTTCAGCTAAAACTTCAATCGGGAACGCATTCAAATTAATTCTTGAAGATAACTGTGCAGTTAAATGCGCAGTTATCTTCAGATCATTTTTTTAAAATATTAATTTTTTAAAAAATTAATGGCAACTTATTGATTACCTATTAAAAAGCTAAAATGATTTTTTTTAATAGTTTGAGCGTGTAATTGGTTGATTTTAAAGTAGGAGTACCTAATTGACTTTTCGGATATAGTAAGGCGACTTATTTGATAGTTTTCCCAAAAAAAGTATTTTACCTCTTCATCCATTATCATCAACACAAACACACAAGGGGAATATAAAGTTAAAGTGAATGTTTTGAATGTTTGAGAGTCATACCAACTTTGTACAAATTCAACCAATTCACATGAAACTACGTTGGATGTTACTAACAAATTCATTAAAAAATCAATTGAAACATAGAAAAGTACTAAGAAACAATAAGAAAATGTAAATTTGAATAAAGGAAAATAATACAAAATCATAAATTGATAACACAACTATGAAAATTAATTTAGAAAAAGGAAACAATGAAATTTCAGTGAAAATATATAAAAAAAATGACTATTTTTTTATTCGGTACATTTGTAGAATTTCCGCAAATTAATTTTCATTCTTAAAAATATATAGTTTGGAAATTTTTAAAATTATTTCTACATCTTTCGAAAATTGGGAGTTCATAATTAGGATTAATAAAAAATGTCAACTATAGTTGGAATTATTTAAGGGAAATTTGACTTTGCACCTTACTTTTTTAGAATGATATCGGACTTTACATCCCATTTGTAAAAAACTTTGTTTTTGCATCCCATTTCACTTCAAAATTCTTTGACTTTGCACTCCATTTTTAAAAAACTTCGTTTTGCACCTCATTTCACTTCAAAATCATTTAACTTTGCACTCCATTTAGAAATTTTCCTTTACAAATGTTATATGATAGGATGCAAAGTAAAAGGTTTTATAAAGTGAGGTACAAAGTCCAATATCACCCAAAAAATGGGGTGCAAGGTCAAATTCTTCCATTATTTAAATCTTACATATAGTTCATATTTAAAAAAAAACTGTTATACTAGATTGTAACAGATTGCAGACTATTTTTGGAAATTAAATCATATAGTTGGGACTACCCAGAAATATGGAGTAATTGATAATTGAAATTATTAACCGGGTACTCATAAAAATTGAGATTATTATTTACAATTTTTTCTAATTTATATACGTCAGTTACTAGTAATTTCTTAGCAAAGGGACTCTGATCGGCGGGGCCAATTTCAGTCAAAATCGCGAAATCGCCATACTCGTTGCAAGCTTTTCTTTGGAACAGTATGTTCGGCGAGTCAGCGCTTCATTCTTCTCTCTATCTCTCCGATTACGCCTAACGCCTCCGAACTTCTAATTGATTGTAGGTGATCCTCGAAACCCATACATTCTTCGACGATTCGCTCTTCTTCCATCCATCTATCTACAGGTATTTCATTTTCATCTCTGGTGCTTCAACTCCAACCTTATGGAATATTCTCAATCAAAATATACGAAAAGCAGTCAATTATACGAACCCTAGTGGCGATCTGCTATCTGCTCCAAAGGAATACTTCGCCTATCAATCAGCTCCAGGTCGATTCTCCGCTATTTACGCCATACCCTCCCTATCTGCTTCAAGCCATACCTCCATTCTCGATTTAATCTTCCATATAGTTCTGGAGTTAGTTTCTAGACAATATTATTATTCGAATATTTAGATGTGAATTTTCAATCTGTGGAGGTACTGTGTTTAGAAATTCGTATGCTTCCAGTCTGTAACTCTCTTATTAAATTTAGTACTATAATCAAAATTTGTTTCATTTGCATATTTTTTTACCACTAATAAACCTTTCGTCAATTTCTCACTGGACCATTTAATTTGGGTTTTCCTAATTAATTTGTTGTTCGCTGGAGCATTTAATATGAATTCACCTGCTTTTCAAATGTCTTGAGCATTTCAGTTGTTTTTCCTATTCTTTCTGGAGTTTTTAATTTGGATTTTTTCATACATAAACGACATACATATTTAGCCTAAAATTAGCATATAATTTGGACAATTGTTAATTCTTGAAATGACATGTGAAACTTAATACACCAAGATAATATTGACCCACAATTGTTGAGATTACTCATTTTCTTTTGTATTTTAATTTTTCGTCTTGCATTATTTTTTGTCAAAAGTTCGGGGTTATAGTATGCTTGTTGATATACTCTCCTTCAATAATATTAATCATTAAATAATTCTTTGTTTGGTGATGTGTTCATTGAAGTGTGAATTTAAATATGGTCATTTAAATAAACATAATGATGTTTTATACGGAGTATAAAGAAACTTTATGATGTTTACAAGTAAATATTGAAGTAATCTTTTCAAGGAAAAATAACAAATCAACTAGTAATCTAAACAATAAAAAACCATGAGACACAATTAGGGATGGCAATGGGGCGGGTTTGGGGCGGGGGTACACTCCCCCATCCCCCGCCCCATGTCTAAAAAGTTCCCCCCATCCCCGCCCCATCCCCCGTTACTCCCGGACCCGCCCCATCCCCGCCCCACCCCGTTGTCCCCCACGGGTGCCCACGGGTGTCCCCATATAGATTTAATTTATCGTATTTGCATATACTTTTAATCTCTTATTATAAATATGTGTAGTGCGATTTCAATGAGAACGATGTTTAACGTGGGAACACTCACATTTAATCCAATGTGATACACAATAATCCAATGTGATACACAATAGAGTCATCTAGTGCACATTTGGACTTTGCTCAATACTAGCTAATATAAATAATCACGGTGGCACTTTTGAAAAAATCATGCTAGATACGAAAAAGTTCATTGTGCAAGCCCAATGAGTTTCACATTGGGTGTAAATGTGGTGTTCGCATGTTCTCACGTTAAGCATTGTTCTCATTTGATCCTAAACCTATATATATCTACGCGCACACAGTAATATATGATACACACACACAACACTGAAGTATTGTGTTTGTTAAAAGTTAATACCGCCAATTTTAATAATTCTTCATTTTGAATAAGTTTTGTGAATTGAAGACAATTAAAGTAAAAATATAGGTAAACATATTATCACCATGTACGTTGTTTCAAAATTCTCAACACTTATTATACAATTAATTACATATTATATTACATATAAATGCGTGTGTATTTATTTACTCACTTTTCACTCTTAAAACTCATATAACATTTATGATAAATATTTTTAATCATTACTAGCTAGCTTATTATTATTCTAGTATAATATGTATTAATTCATTAATCATGATTAAACCGTATACAATTATGTATGTATATGCGTTTGTTATATACTACATATAATTTAATTTAATATGTGTACATATATATATATATATATATATATATATATATATATATATATATATGGATATATATATGTTTAAGTATATATTTATAACGGGGACGGGGCGGGGACGGGGCGGGTGTAGCAATACCCATCCCCGCCCCATATTTTAACGGCGTAAAAATATCTCACCCATCCCCGCCCCCACCCCGCCCCAAGCCCCGCCCCAACCTTCTCCCGCGGGGCGGTTCCCCACGGGTCCCCACCCCCATTGCCATCCTTAGACACAATGTAGTGAATGTACTACGGAGTATTATGGTTCATACAATGGAAAAGGGGTACATGTGTAATTTTAATTATATTTCCTCCAACCCCCCCTCTTTTGAAATCTACAACTCCCAAACAAGAGGAAGGAATCCCTTCTCCCAAACTCCCAAACATACCATAAGTGATTATTTTGGATCTACATATATATAACTTCATTTTGCTTTCCATAATTCTCTTGGTACAAGCTGAGATTGTCTGCGTTCTTCCTTTCACTATATTTGGATTTACATAAACTTATTTACCTTGCTCGTGTTGATGATGAGGATTTATTAATTTGTGAGACTCTACGTGGATTTTGAGCATTTCAGTGAAATTACGATAGATAGCAATGGTGTTCTTCAGATGCGTTTCTCTTATGTCAAAGTTGCGCTCCCGAGCTGTAAGATACATATAGCTTGTGGGTTTAAATTAATTCATTGAAAATATTATGCTTATTGTTGATTTCCGTAGTTTGATTTGAAGTTGTATTCGAATCTTAGGTTCAGCAGCCTAGTCTATGCAATTCTGTACGCTGGCTACAAGTTCAGACCTCTTCTGATCTGGTAAGTGTTGTTTGTGATGTATCGATCGGGCTTCGTGCTGTCCTTTTTTAGTATCGGTTAGATTTTACTTTTAGAACTGTGCTGCTAAAATATTGCTTAGAAATGAATTCATAGCACATGGAAGCATTTCCTCCTCCAACAACACAATTTTTCTTTTCTTTTTGGGTTTCACTTTTAAATTTCTTGCATGTGCATGGAACCTGTGATCTGTTTTTATTTGAAGCTCTGCTAACATGATGACGTCCTTTATTTAAATAGGACCTGCGCTCTCAGCTGCAGGAATTGATTCCAGAACAGCAGGTATGCCATTATCTTACTTTAGCAGTTCTATATACATCATTCAGATCATATCTCTTTTTCGTAAGCCAAACAAATATTTTTCTTCATTTCCAGCAGTGGCTGCATTAGTGTTTCTTGACTAGTAATGTAGATGCTTTATGTGTGGGCTTGTGCTCCTTTTTCTCGAGTCTGAGAAGTCTGCCCTTCTCCATTTAATAGACTGTACTATTTTTCTTATTTAGTTTATACACAATAACTCATTGCTCTCTCATGTGTTCTCGCAGGAACGTCTCAAGAAAATCAAGTCAGAGCATGGGAAAGTTCAACTTGGAAATATCACAGTGGATATGGTAAGGATTTCCTTAGCTTTTTTGTTAATGTGAGGGATGCATAAAAACAATTTCAAGGATTGTTCGTAAAAAAATCTCATTGTGTCTTATCATTTCTTTTGTAGGTAATTGGTGGTATGAGAGGAATGACTGGATTGTTGTGGGAGACATCATTGCTTGATCCAGATGAGGTATGTACTATGACCATTCCTGAAAGGTCTGCTATGTGATATTTGTGATGATTTGATCTCTAATAGTGCAAGCAGTTCAGGTTGGTAATTCCTTCATTTTATTAATCCATTTTCTCAATTCTATCAGGGCATCCGCTTTAGGGGATTGTCTATACCTGAGTGCCAGAAGTTACTACCTGCTGCAAAGCCTGGCGGAGAGCCTTTGCCTGAAGGCCTCCTCTGGCTTCTCCTTACAGGAAAGGCAAGTGTTGGTGGCAAATATGAAAGGATGAAAGCATAAACTAGACCTACCAATCTCCAACCTGCTCTTGTTTTCTCTTCATTTTTTTCTTTTTACAGAATTTCATTTTTTCTGAGAAGTGAGAACTAAAATCTGCCAGGGCAAGACAGACTTTTTTGTCAAGTTCTCTTATTCGATGCTTACTGGCTGTTACAGGTGCCATCAAAGTCACAAGTGGATTCCTTATCTCAAGAGTTGAGAACGCGTGCTATTGTTCCAGGTAATATGACCTTCAGTAACTCATTGTTTTGACAAGCCAGAAAATATATCTACATATTCTTCTCTCTGGTTGCAGATCATGTATATAAAACCATTGATGCCTTACCTGTTTCGGCTCACCCAATGACTCAGTTTGCTACGGGTGTAATGGCTCTTCAGGTAATATGTCAACTTATCTGTACTATATTCTGTATTCTCTATTATATTCTCAATTCAATGTGTGTATACTGTATACTCAACTGTTATGTTAAATGTGTGTGCATGGCTTGACTTCCATGCCTAAGCCAACAGATTGCGGTACCGTTTTTATTGGTTTCAATGTAGAAGCTCTGTTGAAATTCTTTGTATGGTTATTTTTAAATTTGCAGGTTTGTAGTGAGTTTCAGAAGGCATATGAGAATGGACTACACAAATCAAAGTGAGTTTTCTCTTGCCAATGTTCTGATTAGAAGTTATTGTCAGACTTTTTGAAGCATTTACACATAATTTTTCTTTTAGGTACTGGGAATCAACTTATGAGGACTCCCTCAATTTGATTGCTCAAGTCCCACTTGTAGCATCATATGTATATCGCAGGTCAGATAACCTTTAGAAAACAATTCATGATATTGGTTGAGTTATTGTACCCTCTATGTGTGCCCTTTTGTAATGTCTTGTCTATAATGCTCACTTAAACTTCGTTAACTCTTGTGAAGGATTTACAAGAACGGCCATGTTATATCAAAAGATGACAAACTGGATTATGGTGCAAACTTTGCGCACATGTTAGGTTTTGATAGCCCTGATGTGCATGAACTCATGAGGCTCTATGTTACCATCCATAGGTGATGAATACTCAAATATTTTATAATAATTAGTTTAGTATTTTATATTTTAGTTGAGTTGGCATTGTAGGAGGCATTCTAACCCTCCAAATGTCATACAGTGATCATGAAGGTGGAAATGTTAGTGCTCACACTGGTCACCTAGTAAGTTTTACTTTATTAATTCCTGTATGGATTCTTTGCAATACAATATGTTTATGAATTATTGTTCTCTGTTGCAAGTAAAGACTCTTGCTTGATTAAAGTAGACCTTTTAATTTTAGTCAACTCAATCAAGGCACAAGCTTTTACAAGTTATGAATGGTCTGCTCTATATTTCCATCTTTGTAACTTATTTCAGAGTTTGTTTAAAGTAATTGACTAAAAAATGAAGTTGACTTTTAAAGCTGTACTTGTTGTTTTGGACAAAAAGTTTTTGATACGGGATGCTGATTTTAGGACAAAATGTTGAAAGGGACTATGTTTGATTGTTCTTTGACTTGTTTGATTAGGTTGCCAGTGCCCTTTCAGATCCTTACCTCTCATTTGCAGCGGCGTTGAATGGTCTAGCTGGTCCCCTCCATGGTTTGGCTAATCAGGTGATTTTACTGCTATCTCACTTTTCAGAGTATTTATTTAAATTTCTACATTATCATGAACACTTCACTTTTCTTTAAAGGAACTAATTAATTATCTTGATTTCTTAAAAATTGTTGTGATACTCCAAATGTAAATGAATGCTTGGAAAATAAACATGAATTCAAGATTAGGAAAAAACAGAAATGCAAATGTAATGGTTTACAAATGTGAGAGGATTTTCATTGTGCTCACTTGTTGCAATGGTCTAACAGGAAGTGTTATTATGGATCAAATCAGTTGTGGAGGAGTGTGGAGAGAACATATCCAAAGAGCAGCTCAAGGACTATGTCTATAAAACCTTAAACAGCGGCAAGGTAGTTTACTTTTTAAGATTAAATGCAGCTTTTGCTTCACAAGATCAAATCAATTAAAGTATCTGTTCTGGTCCACTATAAATTACAGGTTGTACCTGGATTTGGGCATGGAGTTCTGCGCAAGACCGACCCTAGATATACATGTCAAAGAGAATTTGCATTGAAGCACTTACCTGAAGACCCACTGTTTCAGCTGGTTATAACTTGAACCTTGAATATTCCCTTTCCACTTTGTAGTTTCTTTTATCTTCTCTTATGAAAATGGTCCAACCAACTTGTGTTTTGGTTTCAACTCCCATTTGTAGGTTTCAAAGCTTTATGAAGTTGTTCCTCCTATCCTTACTGAACTTGGCAAGGTAAATTGTCACATTTGTGTGGTGGGTTTTTTCCTAGCTTGAAGCCTACAGGGGTAGGTTTTTTATTTAATGGAAAAGCCAAATATTAGTCGATAATAATGACATACTACATACTCTATTCGCTTATGAATAGGGCATTACACTTTAGCTTTGCACAGGAATAAAGACAATTATTGAATGTCATTCATTTCAAGGCAATTTGAATGTCCTGTGCCCTAATTTATATTTCGTTTTGGCCTGAAATTGTCCCATATTAGTTTTCAGCCTTAGGAATTCACGATCTAGTTTCCATTTTTCTTCCTCAATTTCCATTGTCCCAGATACTTTAGTTTCTTATAAATTATAATTATAAATCATCACCATTATCATTACCCCAGTGCCGCAAAGGCTCCCATATTAAAAATCACATTGAAAATGGGTCGGATCTACGTAGCCTTACCCCTGTACTACAGCACGGAGAGGCTGTTTGCGGATGACCCATAGTGAAAATTGTGTTGAAAATTATAAATGAGAAATAAAAATTGGGACCAGGGGGTACGATATAGGGTTATGATAAGGGTACAATATGGTGCTAAATTTCATAAAAAACAAAGAATCTCGGATGGGGGATATGGATTAAAATCTTTCTTAATTTTCATAATTAAGTTAGCTGAATATGTCTTAAAATGGAAAATAATCAATTAATGATTAGTGAAATTTCAAATGTGTACTTAATTAGAAACAATTTCTGTTAATCGATGTTACACATGTAAATCTGAAGCAGCAGTAAGTCTGAGCTGTTACTATTGTGGCATCCAATCAAATATGCAAATTTATTATTAATACTATATGTACCAGACTACCAGTTTCTGAACATGCATGTATGCAACAATATGTATCATGAGTTTATTGAATTTACAGGTGAAAAATCCGTGGCCCAATGTTGATGCACATAGTGGGGTGTTGTTGAGCTATTACGGTTTATCTGAAGCTAGGTATTGATTGATACTTTTTTCCTTCAGGAAGTTGCTTCAAGCTTGTGATATATTAACCATAATTGATAAATCACGCTGGACTTGATTTTTCTATGCAGATACTATACAGTCCTCTTCGGTGTATCCAGAGCTATTGGCATTGGCTCACAGGTACACTTCTACCCTAATAATATTCCTCTGCCTTGGTATTTCTACTCCATTACTATCAATTTACAGTCATGGGTCATAGCATAGCGGGGGGGGGGGGGAGGCTTATCCACCCCAATTTTGTTACGATCCGTTATTTCATGCGTATTTTTTTGGGTAAAAAAAGAGAAATGCAAGAACGATTTTTGAAGAGTTTCTTAGGGCGCTGTGTTTAAAACCCGGAAAATGTTAAGGGAACTGGGGAAGGGAGGGAAATGATAAGGGAATTATGTTCTCAATGTTTAGTTTCAGCTTAGAAAATACGAAAGTTAATCAAGTTTGAGAAAATACATATGCTTAGATTTATTTGGCTTCTTATTACAGAAATAATGAATAATAATAAGTTTGAACAAAAATCTAAAATTTATTTATTCAAGTTATTCTCATCTAAAGTTATTTCCTTCTAAATCTCCCTTCTATTTTCTTTGCTTAACATTTCCCTAAGGTTTTTTTTAAACATTTATGTGATACTGAACTTGCGTCACAGCTTGTATATATTCATTGAGAAACTTATATAGTTTCCTTCTTTTCAGCTGATATGGGACCGAGCTCTTGGATTGCCATTGGAGAGACCAAAGAGTGTGACGATGGAGTGGCTCGAAAATCACTGCAAGAAAGCATCCGGTGCTTGAATTCTCTTTTTGCACTGAATGCATCATGCATGCATTCCGATGATTTTTGTTTTAATAAGTTCCTAACTTTTACGATTCCCTTCTAGTTCTCCAGCTAGATTTCACCTTTCCACCAAAGAAGCATTTACACCATTTACATTTTTGCCGTTTACACCAATTTTCTACTATTGTTATTTGCAGAGCTTTTTTAGCGATTCATTTGGTGATTAGCATCCTGAGTTGGTTCTTAGAGCTGGAATAATGTAAACGCTATCATAATTGCAAATACGCAACCAATTGTTTGAATTTGAAATGTGAAAATGATATGAGAATAAATAGTTGTTATATCTTAATTGTGATATTGCATATTGAAATAAATTGAAATGGTTACGTTGAACAAATAATTTTGATATTAATTTTCTAACATATAAAGGTCAACAAGCTATCCAAAAGCTATGAGTAATGTTGTATTTTTAAGCCCGGCTTTATAAGTTATTTGTGTGATATATTGTTATATTTTGTGTTGATTTACTATGACATACTATTTTATATTTTTATTATTGAAACTTGAGAGTTTAGAGCATCTTCAATGCTATAATATGCATGGTGCATATGTGGCATAAGTTATAATCACATAAATATTAGTAAATAAATTATTTTTCTCCTTATTTGAATGGTTTTATACAATTTCGGTAGGTTTTCTCTACAATGTCAAGAAGATCGTTTAAATGTAGACATTGTGGTGGTTTACATTAAGCATTGACCGGTATTGAGCCGGGCCTGTTCAAACCGGACTTTTTGTTTGTGGGTTAAGGCCCGCAACCGGCTCGGGATTTCAGCGGGATTGGGTCGGGTCGGTTTATATATATACTACTTCCGTCCCTTTTATATTGGGAAGGAAGAGGGTGACACGAGTTTTAAGAAAAGTAGGTTTGTTTGGTTGATATTAATTGATAAAATTAGAATAAAGTAAGAATGATTTTGATTCACACAAATTTTATCAAATAAGGTATGAGACAATTAAATAGGGACATCCCAATATGATAAAACGGGACATTTAAAAGGGGACGGAGGGAGTATATATATTTTATTTATTTAGCTTTTCTAATTAATTCCACCCATCCACCCCCCAAAAAAAATATGGGCCCAGACCGGGCTCGGCCGGGCCGGGCCGGTACCAAAGGAGGTGCAACCTGGAACCGCCCCCAAAACCCCCCCGGGCCGGTCCTAGGCCCGGAACCGGTCCCAGTTAACCGGGTTGGTTGGTCCCGCACAGTGGCAGTCCGGTCCGGTTCCCGGGCCGGTCTCATTGGAACCGGGCCACCCCTAGTTTACATTGTTAAGAAAACATACCAAAAAAGTAAAAAAATCATTTAATAACAAGAGAGACAATTTATTTACTCTTTATATACATATTAGACATGTACAAAACCGGGCCGGCCCGCCCGGCCCGCCCAGCCCGCCCGCACAAATAGGCGGGCTTGGGCATATATATGTACCCACCGGGCCGGGCCCGGCCCACAATAACATACGGGCGGGCTTGGGTTAGGGTGTAGGCCCGTTCGGGCCAATAAGCCCGGCCCGCTACATTTAGTATATATACATCTTTTAATATATATATATACCAATTTATTTATTTATTTATTTATTTACATGTACACATGTATTTTTATATTTATTAATTTATCTTTATACATATTTATAGTTAATTATATTTAAAATTAGCATAGTCAACATATGCTCAACACCACTGGACCAACTCATTTTCTTAAGTTTTTAGTTCTTAACAACTAGCCCAACCAAGATAATATCTACTTTTGTACTTAAAGATGATACTTTGTGCTTGAATTTTTAAATTTTAGCTATAGTTTCTCATTGTATTTTTTGTGCAAGTATCTTTATACATATTTATAGTTAATTATGTTCAGATTTAAGTTTTTAGTTTTTAACAACTAGTCCAACCAATATAATACACATAGTATGTAGTATATTTTAGTACTTAAAGATAATACTTTGTGCTTGAATTTTAAATTTTAGATATAGTTTCTCATTATATTTTTTGTGTACGTGGTGACAGGCCTAAAAACATTATAAGCGTATTAGTAATTTTTTAAATGTTGTAATACTATTTATAAAGTATTAAAAAAATTATATAATTTTTAAAAATTAAAATTTTTCCGGGCCGGGCGGCCCGGTGGACTACCCGGCCCGCTCTAACGGGCGGGTGTGGACATAGGATTAGGCCCGTTTTGCGGGCCGGGCCGGGCCCGCCCACACATGATGGGCAGAAAATTTATAAAAAGCCCGGCCCGAACCCGACCCGAACCCGTTTTTGTACAGGTCTAATACATATTTCGCATGTCATATGTGCATCGTTCATATTATAGCATTAAAATGGATGAATATCACTCAACAAAATTTGCTTACCCCGATGATGGAGGCATTTGTGAGAAGCAACCAATCACCACTCACATTTGTACTGTACTAATACTTTATCTCTAGTTTGTGTACTAAGGGGGTGTTTGGAAGTGATTCTGCTTCTGCTTCTTTTTTAAAGCAGAATCAGAATCAGTTTTCAGAAGCTGGTCACCCCCAGCTTCTAATAAAACTGTTTCTAAGAGTAAATTTGAGTACCAGAATCACTTCTGCACTTTCATCCAAACACTCCAACTTCTGCTTCTGCTCCCTGACGGAGCAGAAGCAGTTTTAAGAATCAAATTCCAAACACCCCCTAAATATACATGAAAATGATCGATTTTCATGAACCTATTGGTATTTTCAAAGTTTGGTCTATTTATTGTACAATAAGCGTGCTTCCGCAATTTATGGGTTTTTTGATAAAATATTTAATTATTACTAGTAGTTCATATAAAATAAGAGATCGTAGCTAGTTAAACGCTTTAATGCTATGACATTACGATTGACACTCTTTGCTTCAGCCTTTCGGGCTGGATATATGACTAAAACTCCCTAAAAGTATAACTATTAAAAAAGATATGACCTTTTTGTTAAAAGATATAGAGTAGAATATACTAGCTGGTATATGTAAATTTAATGATAATTAGATATACATATTAAACTAGCAATCCTTTGAAGGAGTAAAACTAGAAAAATCCCTTTTATCCTTCAAATTCAAAATAAAACTGTCACCTCTATTCGGCACTCCACATTTTGGCATATTGAGAGCAACTTTGTTAACCCTCATCCTTCCTTGCATGTCACATGCCAATGCAATATTTTTTTCTTCAAATTGTTACAATATTTCATTTATAATCCAACTTTTATAAAAAAAATATTAAATGTATTTTATAATATTAGATGATATCCAGGGGCGGCCCTACACTAACAATTTTAAGGGTATAATTTGTTGAATTTCTTCGGAATGGATTTAATTGGTGAAAATTTATGATCATATTCCCTATGAAGTGTAGATTATGTAACAAAATCAGTTCAAAGTTCAATTCAGAAGTCAGGTAAATAAATTATTGAATAACACTGCGTTTGTATACATATTTTGGTGCATTGTTTTCAGTAATTTATTTAACTAACTTCACGATGGATTTTTAAGCAGCCATTTTATGGACATAATCTACACTTGATGAAAAACATTCTCATAAAATTTCATATAAAAAAATCCTACTCGAAAACATATTAATCTGATGTGATTATTTGATTATTAATTGATTTCATTCATAGTTGATTGATTGATTTCTTAATTGTTGATTGTTTTCTATTGAGTGTTGGTGTTATAACTTGTTGGTTTTGTTAGACAAAAATTTTCAATTATATTAAAATTTATAAATTTAATTAATTTCAAGGTGTAATAAAAAGGATTGAATCTGAATACGATAAATAAAAAGGAGGAGAAATTAGAGAAAGCGGCGTTAATTAAGTAAAAAAAAAAGTTAAATGGAAAAGTTGAGTTGTGTAAAGAAGTCAAATTCTGAATGTCCTCTTCAAGATGAGAACTCATAGAAGAACAATAATTTAGATACTAAAAATGAAATGATTCAGAATAAAACGATTCAGAATGATTACATCATTGGAGGGAGGAATTTAAGAGGTGATAATAATAGACTTTATTCTTTAAATATGACTTAAACATTCGTAAAGTGTACAAATAGTATCACCATTATTTTCTTCTTATATAATGATCACCAACATTATAATATGATTGGTTTATACAGAGCAGAGTCTTACAAATTTTTATAAATATCTTGAAATATTATTATCATTATTATTGTGTATATCAGTTTAGATAAAAAAGAGAATCTTCAATTTTTTGTAACATTAAGTCCATTTTAATTTTACGTCCCTAGGCCTTCGAACATATTTAGAACTTTTGATTCAAAGATCTTGGCTTTCGAAACTAGTCTTGTAAACTCCGACCTTTTCTATACTTATTTTTTACATTTTTAGAGTAGTTCAAGTGTATTCTAAAATTGGTGAAGCTATATGGGGTAAAATTGACTACCTAATTCTGAAAAACTTGTGATAATTGTGTAGTAATACTGAGATAGTTGTAATGGTAATAGAAATGTTTTTACTTGAATTGTTTTTACTTCTAGACTAAATCAAATCAGACTTTCGTAGTTATAAAATACACAGAGACCATACATTTACCAAACTAGACCAAATCAATTCAGAATTTCAGATCAGACCACACCAGACTTAAACATACCAGATCAGACCGAACCAGCAAATTTCGGTCCAAATAAAAATATCCTAAAATTAGTACTTATGTGTTATGGTGGAGTAATGGTGTAATTGTAATGGTAAATATAGTAGTAATTATGTGGGGTTTGTATGGTACTACGTACTAGTGAGGTAATGGTAATGTAATTCTAAGATAGTGGCTCAAAGGTCAAAATGTTAAAAATAGTCTCCTCTCATATGAAAACAGTGTTTATACTCTTATTCCTCTGTATTCTAGCATAGTCAATAAAATACACTCAACATGACTTTTACATATCAATTTAGTAAAAAAATAATTAAATTATTATATGTAATGTTTTCCTTTTATTTTTTCCCATGAATAATTATGAAATAATATACACACATTTCGATGTGAAAATAATAAAATTTCATTAAGTTTTTTTAACGTTTTTCGATTAACAAAAATGAACTTAGTTCAAGTAAAGTTCAATCATGGAATATTCAGTTATTTGTGAAGGCTTCATGAATTATATATATTACATATTGGTGTTATATGAAAGATCATCAAAATTCCTAAAATTTGATACTCCATATATTTTTTTAAAAATTTGGGAAATAGATAAAAAAGTTTGGGATGATAAATGTCACAAAGATGATGCAGGGATACAACACCGTCACCTCTTTTCACGAGTCATTGCTTTCTCCTTCTCATTTTTTTGATGATCCAGGTGTCGGGGCTTACGCTCCCATAATTCTGGAGTCTATGAACTACCCTTCGAAAC